TTTTACACAAAAAGTGACCGTTTTTTGAAACTTTTTCTCTGTTCTCAAAAACTACCCTCTTAAATCTAAGGTTTAGGTTTTAATGAGTAGAATGGGTTGTGGAAACCTCCGCTGCTTAAACGGTTACGCCTAAATTTTTTTAAACAAAAAGTTACGACCCTCCGAAAAGTCAAGTTTTCGTTTTTTTGACCGTTTGTTCAAACTTTTTGACTTTTCTCGAAAACTAACCTCCCAAATCTGAGATTTTGTTTTCAATAGGTAAAACGGGCTGTGAGAAGCGCCCCCAAATAAGCGGTTACGCCCGAATTTTTCTACACAAAAAGTAATGACCCTCGAAAATGTAGAATTTTTGACAATTTTTTGAATCTTTTTGACTTTTCCCAGTGAAGAACGGTTTGTTGGAAGCTCAACTGCATCAGTGGTTACGCTTAATTTTCGTTTACAAACGTTCTAACCCTTAAAAAAGTCATTTTTTCGACTTTTGACCGTTTTTTACAACTCTTACTCTATTTTCGAAAACTGCCCTCACAAATCTGAGATTTAAGTTTCAATCGAAAGGACGGATTGTGGGAAACTCCGCTGCATAAATGATTACGCCTAAATTTTTCTACACAAAAAGTTATGACCCTCTGAAAAGTCAAATTTGCAATTTTTTTTGGCAGTGTTTTCAAACTTTTGCTTTTCTCGAAAACTACCCTCCGAAATCTGAGATTTTAGTTTCTATAGGTAGAACGGGTTGTGGGACGATCACCTGCATATGCGGATACGCATTAACTTTTCACAAGAAGTTTTGACCCTCGGAAAAGTCAAATTTTCAATTTTTGACCATTGTTTTGAAACTTGTTTTTTCTCGAAAAATACCCACCCAAATCTGAGATTGTGCGTTCAATGAGAATTACGGGTTATGGCAGCTTCCCGGTTTTAGCGGCTTAGTCCATTTTTTAGGAGAAAAACGATTCCTCCCGGATTAGTCATGCTTGCTACGTCTTGGCAAATGTTACGCCTCTGGTAAAGTCGAATTGTTTTTTGACTTTTTTTTTCATTTTTACACTTGCCAAGCAAAGTGTTATAGTACGAGCTCTATCTTTTTCAACATCAGTCGCACCTGTTGCTGCGACTTTTGTTGCGACCTAAAGCAACAATTTTTGCTGCATCGAAATGGCAATACAAAATGATTGGCAGTTTGTTGCACCTTTACAGCTTATCGATAATATGTGCTTTGACTTTCGAATAGTTATAAGTTTACACAGTTGATGCAGTTTTAATTCATCAAGTGAGCCGAATAAAGCTATTTGTTTAAACCAACATGACTATTATAAAATCTTGATTTCAGAAATTTTCTAACTGAATCTATATGTTTAAATGCTAGTGACAGCTATCTCCCATGTTTAAGCATAATAATTTTGCATGTTTAAGCTATATCATATATTGCAAAGTTATATTAAGAAAATGTTTCCTTTAGTTTTCCGCAAGGTCATTAATTTTTCAGTAATTTTTTTCGAGGCCAAATTAAGTCTGTCTGTCTGTATACCTGCTTTTTTTAATTATGTCTGTCTACCCGTCTCCTAATTTTTTTTAATTTTTTTTCTTTCAAGTCTATTATCTATTTAAATGCGGGCCTCACTATCTCGCCATGTTTAAACTTTTTCAACTTATTTTGCATCTTTAACAAAAGAATTTTTTCACGTTTAAGCTATCGTTTATTGCAATGGTTAAGGTTTTTTCGTTTTTCGCGTTCAAAATCAGTTTTTATTTCATCAAGTTTGTAATTAGCAACCCAATAGTTGGATGTTGTCAGAGTTTTCGCAGGTTTTGCGATACTGACCTCCATATATGAATATCCAAATCCTTGTAGTTTTCGAGATATGACGTTTTTTTTAATGATTTTCTCCGAAGTTTAAAAAAAAACATTAGATGTTAAAAAATTCCAAAACTTTGAAGATCTCAATCCTGTTATTGGAATCTGTGAGGGTACTCTCATGGAGTTGCAAACTTGCCTCTGAAAATGTCTGCTCAAAATCTTGTAGTTTTCGAGATATGACGTTTTTTAGGATTTTCTCAAATTTTTCAGAGAACTTGGATACGATTTTTTTTTAAATTTGTAATTATCATCTCTGTAGTGAGGCTCTTCCAGGGTACTCTCAGGATTTGTGAATTTTGCCTCCAAATATGACTACTCAAAACTTTGCAGTTTTCCTGATATGTCGGTTTTTGTGATTTTATTTAAAAAAATTTTTGAAAATTAAATTAATTTATTTTTTCAAAGTTTGAAATTCCTAACCTGTACTTAGGGGCTGTTAGAGTAATCTCAGGACTTGCAAATTCGGCCTTCAATGAAGAATAATCAAATCTTTTTAGTTAAAGAGATACGACGATTTTTGTGATTTTTTTGGAAATTTTCAGAAAACTCAAATTACAAAATAGTTCACTTAAGTGAAATTCCCAACCATGTAGTTGTGTGCAGACAGCACTTTCAAAGATTGCAATTATTGCCCACTAATAAGACTGCTCAAATCTTGGTAGTTTTCGAGATGTGAAATTTTTTCTGGTTTTCAAAAAAAATTACCTCTTTTTAGAAAACTTATGGTGAAGTTTCTCAAAATTTGATTTTCCCATCGCTGTAGTTGGGTAACTGTAAGAGTACTCTCAGGAGTTGTAAATCGTGCGTCTAAATGCGGCTGCTCAATTGCTTTTAGCTTCCCAGATGTGACGTTTCTTAGTTCATTTTAACTTCACAAAATTTTATGGTTCATCAAAACTTGAATAAACTCTTTGCAAAATTTGTAATTACGAACCCTGTAATTGGGTGCTGTCAAAGCACACTCAAAGAATGCAGATCTTATTTCCCGTATATGCGGTTTATCATGAGTACCGGAGGTTGGATTTACGCTAGTATATCTCGCAATTTTTGAAATGCAAAATTTATACATAATGTAGCTTGATGATTTGCGATTTATTACATGCAAAATTGTACCTTTTTTTTTTATTTGCTGCTACTTATGCTGCATTGAATTGGGGCTCTATTAGAATTTGTAGCTGCTTTATTGGTGGCTGGTTTTTGGGGATTTTAAGCGTCCGTGGCTGAATGATTAGTGCGTGCGACTCAAATTTCCTAGATAGCAGATTTTTGCTAATTGGAGTTTTTGCTGAGCCTCGAGTTTTTTTTGCAAATTCGAGGCTCATTTCTACTTTCGCTTATGACACTTAAAAGAGCTGCTTTTTGGTGGTGTTCTAGCAACTGTGTTTAATTTGTCTCGAAAGTTTTGAAATTACCAATTGCATCAGTACGGTAAAATTGCTTGACAAATTTGAACAGAGGCGAAGCGGAGCTTCGCAACCCTTACGATATATTACAAGTCGAAAAAAATTAGTGGTAACAAAGCCGATTTTACCTCAGCAGAAACCTTTTCAATCCGCTAAAAATATCAGAAACCTTTTCAACTTTCGATACACAATCAACATAAAACATAATTAGCTATCACATCGGCTTTGTTACCACTGATTTTTGTTACCACTGCAGTGGTAACAAAGGTGAGGTATAATCGGTTTTGTTACCACTAATTGTTTTGACTTAAATTATATCCTAAGGGGTGCGAAGCTCCGCTTCGCCTCTGTTCAAGTTTGTGAAGCATTTTTTTCAACTTGGTCGTTTTTCCGTAATTTTTTTCATAATATTTATTATGTATCGAAACTTTCGATACACAACTTCGATACATAACTTTACGAATCTTTCGATACATAATTTTTCAAAATTTTCGATACATAGTAAACAGTAAAACATTACGGTCAAACGACCTTAAATACATAAAACATCAGTAAAATTTTACATAATAAATATTACGGCAGAACATTACAGTAAAACGACCAAGTTGAAGAAATAGCCTGACAAATTTGAACAGAGGCGAAGCGGAGCTTCGCACCCCTTAGGATGTAATACAAGTCGAAAAAAATCAGTGGTAACAAAGCCGAACAGAGTCGAAGCGAAGCTTCGTAGCCCTTACGATATAATACAAGTCGATAAAAATCAGTCGTAACAGAGCCGATTATACCTCAGCAGAAATTTTTTTTTCGATACATAATAAACATAAACCTTTTTTTTCGATACATAATAAACATATTATGTAATGTATCGAAAAAGTTTTCGAAAGGTTAGCTTCGCACCTCTTTTTAGCTTCGCACCCCTTTCGATATAATACAAGTCGAAAAAAAATCAGTGCAAACAAAGCCGATTATACCTTAACATAAACTATTTTTTCCGATACATAATAAACATAAACCTTTCTTTCGATACATAATAAACATATTGTATACATAATAAAGATAATATATAATAAACATAGAAACATAAAAACGACATTACTGTAAAACTTTCCCGTAAGAAAACATAATTATCTGTTATAATGTTTTATAGTTTTACTGTAATGTTTTTCATTAAGTTTATTATGTATCGAAACTTTCGATACATAACTTTCGATACTTTATTTTTCGATACATAACTTTCGATACATAATAAACGGTAAAACCTTACGGTAAAACGACCGTAAATACATAAAACGACCGTGAAACATTACTTTATAAACATTACGGGAAAACAATACGGTAAAATTGCTTGACAAAGTTGAACAGAGGCGAAGCGGAGCTTCGCACCCCTTACGTTATAGTACAAGTAAAAAATCAGTGATAACAAAGCCGATTATACCTCAGAATAAACCTTTTTTTCGATACATAATAAACATAAACCTGTTTTTTCGATACATAAACATGTTTATTATGTATCGAAAGCTCTGATGCGAAAATGTATTAAAAAGGACGCGAAAATGAAGTTCGTTTTCGCCGGTGTCAGTCTCAATCTTTTCTTCTGCTTTTCATTGTCGGAAGCGTTGTGATTCGTTGGTAAAAATTGCCTCTCATATTTTTCATCTATTTTTTTCAAAGAAACACTGCTGATTAGTCTTTAAAAAGTAGACGGAAATTTGAAATATATTGATATTTTCAGGTGTTAATGAACTACTTAATCAGCTGACGTTTTTCTTCCTAAAAGACGCCTTAATGTCGAACGAGTTTGCAATTCAAGGAAATGTTCACAAACTGTTGAAGCTGCTAGATGTACCGCCTGATTCAGGACAAGCAGCTGCCTTTACTGAACAACTTTCGAAAAACGTGACGCCTTTTGTGTTCACGCAAGTCTCAGCCCACAATGCGAAACGAAAGATAGCCGAGTTTTCTCCTCGACCGGAGAAGTTTTTGTCCAAATATGAAGAACTAAAAGTGAGTTAATTTTTTATTCGAATCATTTAAATTAATATCGCTAGATTTTGGATCCTAAGGTTTATAAATACTTATGTAGATTAGTGTTAATAAATGATGTTAATTCTAATTAAACAAAATATTACATACTAAGCAAAATCATAGTCTTCTCGGCGCAGTGTTCTTTCTAGGTCTCTTTTTAGCTCCCTCTTTGGAGCCGAGAACGCTCGCCAATTCACAATGTACCTCCATATATTTTTAAAGCAGTTTGGTGTTACGGCTGGATTGGTAGCCCTCAATTGTTACGGATTTAGCAATTGGTTCTAAAAGGTCGTTTTGTGTAGCTTTTATATAAACGATTCTTCTACATATTATATAAACCTTTCTTTTTTACATACATGGTCCATCTTTATTGCTGCGTGCTTGGTTTTTGTTGACTTATCAGGCTTTTCAATGCCTTCTAATTTCCCAACTGTTAGAAGTTCCCATTGGCTAAACCACTTTTTTAATAAACCACAAATTTTCTAAGTCATCGTTAACAGAAAATTAGTCTTAGCAGCGCAGCAAAGTTTTGCTGTACAATTCTTGCAGATATGCGCTAAATTTTTGTTTTATCTTCCCTTTACGTTTCCCTGGTTTTCACGTTTTTATGAGTCGATGAACGCATCAGCCTCTTTTATAGGTCGCCATATTTTTTTTCAGGAAGAGTCTTGGAGTTTCAGGTTCTAATTTACTTTTTAGTTTGATTTTCGTGTGTTTTTTTTAGTTCAGTTCACTTTCTTTGTTAAAAGGAAGGCAAACTCCACTATTGAACAGCAAAAGTGTAAAGGTCACGATAAACATCATCGATTTGTGGTTTCAAAAATGGATTTTAGTTTTCAGATTTTCCAGCGGAATAAAAACTACCTCTATTGATCCAGTTTTCTCAAATTGAGTTAGTGTTATCAAAAAATGCGAATCATAAATTGTTCAAGATAGTCAAAGAGTTCTAAGGGCATCTATTGTTTTCTTCGAATATCGAAAAATGAGATTTTTTTCAAAAAAAAAGTCATAATTTTTTTTCGTTTACTTGCGCTTATTGACTCTTTTCCAACTATGTTGGATATGTTTTCCAATACACAATTTTGTTTTCGCCCTGCTTACGTTTTTAGGTATCTGCTTATATACTAATCGGTTAAAATTGATTTTGATGGCTTCGATTTGTTCTTTTTTTGAGATATTCGCAATTTTTTGAGATTTATTACTTTCCATCATGAGGGGCGCCACTAAGTTAAATTATTGAAAGAAAAAGTGGTCTCCTGTTTTGAAGACTGTTATCTTTTTGTTTTTTTTTTAATTAAGCAGATCTTGTGTTCTATTACGAGGTTACTTTTTCCAACCAATTGCATGTGTGTTAATCTTTTGTGTTTATTTTTTGAGTGCAGTTGTTTTGATTTTAAACAAGAGGAATTATTCTCCATAGTTTCAATTTTTTCTGATGTTTTTTTGCTTGTGTTTGCTTAGTGCATCTTTACATCTGGCTAGAAAGATTTTGATGTGTGCCCAGTCCGGTTTAGCGTCGATGAACGTGATGATTTTTTTAGGATAAGTTTAAAAATTTGTTCAGGTTTAATATTACGTTTTCTGGGGTTGGTTTTCGATTTATTTTCAAGTTTAGGTCATTTGTTGAAAGGAAGACAAATTCCACTGTCGAGCCGCAAAAGTCTTTAGGTCACAAAAAACGGGATCAACTTCAGTTTTCGAAAGTGCTGATTTCAACTTGCTGATTTTTAGTGGAATAAAAAAATTACCAATTGATCCAGTTGTCTCAGATTGGGTTCATTTTGTCAAAAAGTGTCAATCATAAGTTTCTATAGATATGGAAGTTTTTAAGGCCATTTTTTGGAATTTAGAGTTTGAGATGTTTTCAAAAAACAAAGTTTTGTTTCTGTTCAGTTGCGTTCATTGACTCTTTTCTAACCGACTTCTGGCTATGTTTTTTCTCATCTGTCAGATTTACCCTTCATAAAACTTTTAACAGATTTTTTTTGAAATTAAATCAAGGTTAATTTTTTCATTTTTTGCCTTTTTGTATAATCTCAAGCAATTTAATAGTAAATTAATTTAACTGAGAAATAATCGGAATCTGAATTGAGGCGAGCCAATTCGTCCCGAAATAGAAGTTAGTATTTCGTCGTTTTCTCTGAAAGTGGTAACAGGTAGAGTAGCAAGAAAAGAAGGTTCCAAAATAGTTTGTCTTTAAGGGTTGATCATATAACCCTTAAAGACAAACTTTGCAAGGTTTGCTTTGTGGAGTGTCTTCAGATGCAACATTTTTTCAATAGTTCCAGTTTGCTTGTATGCTTTTATTCCGACCATTGAAAATAGGGAAGAACTTTGTATTCGGGTGTGTTTTAGTTTTTTGTTAAACATGCAAAATCAGGTACAACAAATAATCATCGGATGGGGTCCAATGATATATCATGTTAGAGCCCTTTCAATTGCGATTCGATTAATATTTGAAAATGTTCGAAAAATTGTGCCAGTATTGAGAAAAATAGGTTGGAAATTTTTGATGCTTTTTTAAATTCGAGAGAGCAAGCTTACAATAACTACTTTACGCTTAATTTGAGCCGAGAAAACTTAATTTTGTTCGAGTAAAATCATTCTTTGGAGTTATTTTTAGCGCATTTTGGCAATCTAAAACTTCAATCATTCAAAATGATTTTAAAAAATTTTTCAAGTATCAAATTGGGTTAATTTAGTCAAAAAAGTGTCAATCATACATTATAGAAATCAAAGAGCTTTAAGGCCATATAAAGCTGTTTTTCTAAAAAAATAATTTCTTCCACAAAAACTGTTGCCCAATTTGCCTTTTTTTACTATGAGTGGCGAATATTTTCTAGTTTTTCGTTCATATCCATTTATCACACCACGCAGAAAAAAAACGACTGATAATTTTTTTTTAAGACTATGATAAGAACATTCTGGGCTTTTTGCAGAGTTTTTTTGTAATTCTTCTTGACTTCAATTTCGTTGAAAAGCTTCCTGCAAAAGTTTTAACTAACAAAATGGTATTTTTGTCAAGATTTGTTAAAATGTTTTAAATCATTCTTGTTGTATTTGTTGCTGAGGTTTTTCGTAGGTGTCAATGAACATAGTTAAAAAAGGATTTTTTTTTCCAAGAGAAAGTCTCAAGTTGTTCAAGCTCAATTTTTTCGGGGCTCGATTATGCGCTCTTATAGCTATAAAGAAAATTGCTTGAGGAAACGGTCCAAAAGTATGTTATAATTTTTACGTATCCCAGCGGAATAAAATTTTTACTGTTTGCTCGGATTGGGTTGTTTTAATCAGAAAAGCGTCAATCAGAAAAGGTTTTTGAAATTGAATTTTTTAGGTTTCCTTGTTCATTAACATCCAAGAGGTCGGTTGGCTTTGTTTTTTTTTGCCAAAACGTTTCAGTTGTTTGACGTTGACACTTAGGAGCGTAGTTTTATACGGTCAGTCAGCTCCCTTTTTCAAACGTAAGTAGCATATTTTAGTACATAAATCTTGAGGGAGCATTTTTTATCGACCCCTTGAGCTGAAACAACAATTTTTTATTTGAAGTTTTTTGGAATTTTTTTAAAACGGGCAATTTGGCAGTTTGCTGACTGGATAAATTTATAAACTCTTTTTTGCATTTTGGAACCTGATCTAAACTACATTTTATGATTGGATAAATTAGATATTTTACCAATGTAAAGTATTTAATATTAACCAATCATGATCCATCTAACTAACAACCCACTTATTTGTAAGTGCTGAAGTTACTTGTAATTTCAGCACCAGAGAGATTTGAATTTAACTTAGAAATTAGTTGGACTCTCCCGAGCACTTCAGCAGCCGCAATAAACCAGTATACCCTAGATCTATTGAGCCTAGCAGAGACTAGTTAAACAACCTGAGACTAGATAGTATAAGAGTAAGATTAGGATCGGTATTAGACTAAGAAGTTGCACGAATCTATCCGGCCGAAAATAAGATAGCGTGACGAGCAGACGGTGTACCCTATCCGAAATTACTCTATGAGTTAAACACTCCAGTCATAACTCATCTGGTGCGACCATAAGTCTCGAACAAGACCTTAATAGCTTAGAATTAACCAAAATAGATTAGAAATTAGACAAAAACATTTACAAAATGTTATACGACAATAATTTAATCGAAATGTCTCTACGACTCAATAGATCAGAGCCAATATTCCGAACCATAACAGAACTACCCGGAATTGGAAGAAGACCTCGAACCAGAGACGACATACGACAAAGTAGAAACTTGCCATATAGCTATATGATAGTTAGGCAAAAACCAGAACAAACTTTTATATTTAGAATACTACTGGCAATGAATTTAGATTTTCATTTGCAAACATAAAACCTTGAAGTTAATCTTCAAAATCATTTCAGGCGCTAAACAAAATTATTAATATACAATAACGATTGATAAAAAGATCTAAGATCGTTTTCCTAAAACTCTGCAGTAATATACAAAACATGTTTGAAAAATATTTATTGAAAAATAAAAAATAAAAATTAGTAGCATGACAATAAATGGTTAGTAAACATAAATCATCCTGTTGTTCCAGCTCCATCACCTAAAACATAACAGCAATCATAAACCCACTAATATCATCAAAACACTAAATCTTTCCTTTACACACATTTAAAATTTTATTAAAACTTAAATTCACTTAATTTTAAAACCAGATCATCAAGGCTTATCCTTGGATCTTAAATCATTTTCTAATTAATTAAATTTCAAATTTGATCATCAAGGCTTATCCTTGGATCAAACAGAACAACTTTGTTCTCCCCCACCCACTTAATTAGTGTCTAACGACCTCAAACGTCGATTCACTACCCAACCCTTTCTAAAGACCTAAGACTAATAGAAATTTTTAAACAAAACTAATCATTCAAATTAGGATAAACAGTGAAGAACTTCGGTTATTCATCCTTCACTTGACCCCCCCCTCTTACCAGACCCAGGATAAATCTTAG